TGATCCCATATTCGTCAAATTAACGCAGCGATGCTGAGACCGAGCATTCATTGAATACTCAGAAATATGCAAACACAAACATTAACGTATACCACTTTAATGATTTTGACCATAAAAATGCAATAAAACAGGACCAATACTTTACCCAGATATTACAGAAATATAAGTCTGTATCACAATCTATAGTTTCCTTACTACTCGTACATAGCTTTGACAACGCTTTCACCCTTCTTTAAACGCCCTAAACTGGATATGCACACTCCTCTTCATTCAAGATTCAAAATATTCTAAGCCACCATGGCAATCTGACGTGGACCTCTTAACCCATCAAAGCATATTTGTTTTTATCATCTCGATACGTTTCCATCAAGACAGATACTCCCACACTTTTCCTTTAAACTACAACAGCAAGTTCACACAGCAATTCTGTTAATTTAAGCTGTATCATACCAACCATCCGCCAAATAGGGTGCCGTTCGCAGCAGACCTATTTACAAGCCGCCCGCTCGGCGCTCGCCCCTCGACGGCTGTCGATCCGCAGGGAAGACCTTTCCTTCCCCCCTTCGGGGTGCCCCAGCGCACTTTGCAAAACAATGACCGCGCGCCTCTTGGCCCGGAGACAGACCCCGCCCGCCGCCCATCCGCCACACGCCCGCGCAAGGAATCTCCCTGCAACACAGCCTGAAATCCCAGAGGTATTGTTTATAGTTCGCCCGTCGCCGGCTGCCGATCACGGCGTCGAAGAATTATGTTTTCGAAAACAAAGCCGCCTGAACAAGTGTTCGGATAGCTGCAAGAGACGCTTCCAGAATTAGAGACCGGGAGATAGATCGCCCTGGAAAATTCCAGGAACAATGCGTCCCGATTGGGTGACAAAATTGCGACGCATATAGTTTCGGCCTATGAGACAATCCCCATGAGTGAAGGGACAAAGATACGGGTCCTGAGACGTTTTCGGGAGGGGGAAATGGAGGCGAACTCGGCCGGGAGCTGAGTAGACAAAACGATTACCCGACAGATTACACTAGAGATTGCTTTACAAGACTTTTTCTCAATCGCGACTTATAGAAACATTGCGTTAAACATTTTTGCTATCGATCACGACTTAACATTACATTACAGAACTTTGCTACCGATCGCGACTGAAACATTACATTACTGATCGGGGCTTGTAGGAGAAAAGACATGGCCCTTAGCTAAGACTCGGTGGAGTGAGGAACATTGTTAATTTCGGTTCGTAGGGCTGAACGTTGCAACCGAGCGCGATTTTTCACCGAACCGAAGACCCGCGCAGACAACGAGTCAATCTGCGTTCGCCGCATAGTGCCGTCTCGGGCCCATTCACGCCCGCATTACGCCCGCCCGGCGCCCGTGTCCTCGAGCTGACTCTGAGTCCGCCCGCCTATGACGACTCCGGTACGCACCACGCCGCCAGCTGAGGAGAAGAGGTGACCTGACCACCGCCCCGCCGTCACTGCACCACGCCGCTAGCCCTCGCCAGAGCGAAGGTGAATCACGAGACGAGGACAGCCGGTTTCCGGATGCGCACCCACAACCCAGCGGTAGATCACATCCGTACTTCATTACACCCCGAGCCATGACACTCCCCTTTCTCCCCTACACGTCACAGCGCTCCCTCGTGTTATACTTCCGGCGAACAGTTTCAGCAGTGCCCGCACTCAGGCAGTTTTTATTACTTAATACAATAACCAATAATTAACTATGTAGACAAAACCCAAAGTTAGTGTTTAGACAGTTTCCTGTCTAGCTTTAAACCCCATTAAAGCTCAGTGCGTAGTTGGGATAGCAGTCTTTGTCGCTCTCTGCGACCTAAGCTCCCCTGGCATAATGCACCTACCAGGGTGCAACCGGAGTAATGTCCCGTGCCACCTGTCTGATCCCACGACCCGCCCGGAGCGACGGCAAAAGACACCGGAGCTGAAATGACACTGCACCCATACCGGCGTAATAAGTTAAGATTAGATTTAAGTAGTTAAAGTCTTATTCATGTTACTGGGACTTCACCCACAGCACAATACAAAGTGATTACAGTATGGTCTATGAAAATGCTGAAGTCTTTCTCTCAAGTAGTTAGGCAAGCCTGCATGTCTCCCTCTAGGGAGTCTGCCGACGAAGCAGTCGGGCAAAGCTGAAGCACCGAAGGAATCAGGTAATCGGGTGAGTCGGTGGTTACAATATACTAGTTTTTCCGGTCTTGATCATATTTGTCTTATGTTATATTTGTGGTTTTATTTCATTACTGAAAATGAATTCATGAAAGACTGAATGCACAGTTCATTCACATGCCAACTCTGTCAAAAGATTTGCATATTGTTCGGATGTAACAAATTGCAAATAAAAATACATAAAATGAATGAAGATGAAAATGAGAAGGCATGTTCAAAATGTCCGAAAATTCCTCTTTCTGAAGACGCCAATTTCTGAAAGCCCAGAAATCATGCAAGACGGCGAGGCTACAATGGAAGGAAGGGAATGTATGCATTCGATATGGCATCCACGATGGAGAGAGCAGTTGTTGCAATAAACAGAGATTGGGTGCATGACAACAAAGCATTTTACAAGTAGACTGGTTAGTTGCGGTAGACACGGAGAACACTGACTATGAATTCAAAGCAGAAATAATTCAAATACCTGCGAAATGTGGGGACGAAATATTTTACACGTACATTCTCCCAAGGCATTGATCCTCAGACTACCGCTGTCACAAGACTCTGTGTGGACAATGGTACCGGCATTTTCAAACACTTGAGACGCCACTCTGAAGATGTTGCTTAAGACTTTCTTGCTTTTTTGCAGAGCTTGGGAACTCAAACCATGCTTCTGGGCCATAACATCATGCCTTATTGTATAATAACTAAATCACTACAAACCTAGTTTCGTGCATGAATTTTGCTCAAACGTGAATGGCTAATGACGTCCCTTTAATTAGTCAAGGTAACAAGAAAATAGGATTTGCTTGCCAGGACGTGTAGCAGCGGTCCTGAATGGGCAACAATTATTAAAGGTGCCCTCTGCGCTTTAACTGCATTATTGGATTACTAGATTTCCAGGTGGATGATGTATCATTTCATTATAATGCAGTGACAATTCAAGCATTCTTCAGGAGACAAATTACAAGTAAGCACATGAAACAGAATTTCGGGCAACTATTGTGCATGAGCAGTATGGGGCTCTCCAAATTCGTGTTAGGCAAGATGGTTGGCCATTGCATCAAGATTGATGAACTTGTCAATGAGTACAAGTTGAATGGGGAGATGTGTGCTGCTGTTTGCCTTCGTGTTCATGTCAAAGTCAAACCACGAGTAACAAGAAACACACGTATTATCAACGGTATCATCAGATTTTTTGGAAGACAACTTTAAGCAGCGCACCTGAATGTGAGCTGAGTGTGTACAATTGCATAGGCCAACGGCCAAACAACTCTGTGCGTGTTCACCTACTACTTGTTTGAAGTGTTCTGATTCCAAAATTAACATTAAAAATGCCGTATCGTCCACCATTAAGAAGACGGGAAAAAACAATCTTAATAGACACGTGGAATCAAATACTTTCACGCGTCTTTATCACAGTTTTATGGAACTTCTCTGGTAAATAATTTGTGTATGACTGGTTACCAGTTACATTTTCCTGTATTTTTATTAAGTTGTCATTTAAATATATCAAAAATTATTCTAATACATTTCGGTAACCCATGAATAATTTGTCCATTTGTATTAGGTTCCACTTAACAATATTTTGAAGCATCTCCACCCCGTCTCCTACTATATCACAACGGTCTCATGTATTGTTCACATTCGGTTCAAAACCTCTTACTGCACATGCCGTGCTGAGCGTGCGTTTGCACGGTCTGCTGAACATTTTTTTCTTTAATTTTGCATGTTCAAAATGGTGAGCTTTCATGTTAGTTTATATGGAGTGCCAGGATTCACTGTAATTTTCACTAATAGTAATCTCATATTTCATGTTGTTACATATTTACTACCCGTCATCCCGGCGATTTGGCGAATTACCGGCAAAAGACAAGTGTTTTGTGAGTTAACGCGTAAAACGTTTAGTGATGGCAATGAAACACTCATCCACATTTGGTTTTCAAAATGACATGACATTAGTTAGCTATGTACCAAAAGAAAGAAAAAGTACTGCACTTCTAAGTACAATGCTTCATAAAATAATTGAAGAGAGTACAATAAAGAAGAAACCAGAAATTGTACTATTTTATATTAAAGCTAAACGAGATGTAGATATCATCGACCAGTAAAGAATTACAGATGCAAGGGTCAAACAGAAAGATGGCCGATGTCCCTTTGGGGTAATATAATGGATATCGCTGTTTTGAATGCCTTTTTATACTTCACCAATAGCAACATCCAAATTTGCATCAAAAATGTCTTTCATGGCGCCCATTTCCTAAAATTATCAATGGAAATGATAAAGCCTTATGTGATGAAAAGATTAACACAAGTATCCCTAGAAAGGAGAGTAAGAATGAGCATAGAAAAGTTTTTGGGTGAGGCAGAAAATCGAAATTCTGATCAAATAGAGCAACGTAGAACAATGAAAAAAATGTATATGGCCATCATCCAAAGATAAAAGTTATGACACCCTGTTGCAAATGCAGCAAGCATGTGTGTAAGGGACACAGCATTTTGATTTGTGAGTACTGAATTTTTTGTTTTTAGAGATGTTTGTGATTTAATTCTAAAAGTCATAGTATTTGACAAAATAAATATCTATGTTCATTGAAATACGTAGAAAAAATACTGATTATTCTTTTTACTTGCTTTCATGGTTGTCTATTCAAAATGTTTATTTTTATGTTGGTCTGCTCCCTCTCCCCTCCCCCCTCTCCCGCCCCTCCCCCCGCAATTACACGTATCTACCATGTTCATGAGTGTAATTGACTCATCGAATCGGTATTGGACAATAAAGTTTTCTTTTCAAGAAAAAAATTAGTTCATTATTTAAAAAAAGAAAAGGATACTTGTGTTTAATTTATTAAGAAACATTTCATAAAGATAGTTCACAAGACAGTCACCATGTAGAGTAGAACACTATAAAATCGGCTCCACTCAGCATAAAACCATTCTCCTGCGAATGATATTTTTGAGATGTCACTTCACTTACACATTGACAAAATGTACGTTACATATTACCAGGTGATTGTATGGGAACATGTGCGCAATCTATTGCTGCAAGAACTACAAAATCAGGTAATTTCATAAAAATCTTGGAAATCTAGGGTGATTTCTACATTCCTTGGAAATTTCACGAACTCACTTGAAGCAGTAGATTGCTCACCTCAATGCAGACTAATTACAATAAAAAATGATCCCATTTCAAATTAACGCAGAGTGAGAAGTCGATTCATTGGTGATACCTCAGAATTGCTAACAAAACAAAGTATACATTTAATGATTTTGACATAAAATGAATAAAACAGGACCAATACTTTACCAGGATATTACAGAAATATAAGTCTGTATTCACAAATCTATATTTTCTGTTCTATCGGACATAGCTTTGCCAACCGTCAGCTTCCTTAACCTAAAACGGGATTTGCAATCTTCTTCATCAAGATTCAAAATATTCTAGCCGACATGTCATTTGAGTGGACGCTCTAAACCATCAAAGAATTTGTTGTTTATCATCTCTACTACGTTGTCCATCAAGGAAATACCACACTTTTTCCTTGTAAATCACAGCAAGTTCACACACAAATTCTGTTAATTTGAAGTTATCTACCAGATAAACATTTAAAGCCTCTCCAACCTCCAGATTATTTACCGGATACTTTAACCACTGGATAGATTTATCAGGCACTCATAAAACACAAATTTTCAACATATCAGTAAGATAACTTCTGGATAGACAATCAGACACTTTATTAGGCACCGGTGAAACAGGCCCTCAGCATGCATGCCCTTATGTAGCGCCACGTGCAACTTGCCAAAATTAAAAACACATGAAGGGGTATTTTCCCCTGTGGTTTGTTGTGAGCAGAGCTTTTGCCAAGTGCAGATTATTTGTAAGAAGAAACAATTTTTGAGCGCTTCACTTCCATTTTTGAATTTTGCATGGTCATTGGTTTACATAGTAGTATCTATAATATGATTAGTGAAAATATTACATTTTAAGCATGTTTCCGCCGAAATATTTCAATTGGAAAATAGAATAACATCTGTGTCAAATAGACTGAAAAGAAGAAAAAGAAGATTTGTTTTCTTACAAAAGTACTCTAGTGTACAATCTTTATAATCTTCTTCACTGACAAAAATACACTATTCTCTTAACACATTTCTTCATTTATCTCAAAAACAATTCTTGATATACTAAGTCATTTCTTGTGCACCTACAGTTTAACAAACTAAGTTACATTACTCCAATACTTATATCAGAAAAACAGTTTGGAGTCACCAACTATCCGTCAATTTCAATATTAAGTATTTTGAATATACTCAAATGTATAATTACCAAAAATGTGCCTTTCATATTAAAACCAATTATTCTTAAAGAGCCATACCTCTACAGAAGTAAATGTTCTACCACTATTAATAGGAATATTTCAAAACATTTTCAGCAGAAAGGAATGAACCGTTAATTCAGCTTTATGTGGTGAACACTTTAAGTGAAGACACACATTAAGTCTTTCGAAAGGCTTTTGAAACCGTTAACCATGCTTTACTATTGGAAAACTTGTATTTGTACACTTTTATGACAACTTATGAAACTGGTTGCATTACCAAGAAAAAAGGTCAGATACAAAACCTGTCTAATAAATCTAAGTGTTCTCAAGGGCTTAATTCTTTTCTTAAAACATATAAATGATATTGAAATTACATAATAATTTTTTTTATTCTAATGTTTTGTGTCTAAATGCAAACTCAAAGAAATAGAATTTTCTCTTGATTGCCAGATATTACAAGAAGCAACGAATTACTTGTCAAATCGGTGCATGTTACTAAATATCACACGAGATTATCCTATGTAAACTTTCAAAAAAGTTACCTTATGTAATTATAGCTAAGTATGATACATAGAAATTCATACACTAAATTTCTGTTTGAAATTTGTATATAAAATTATTACTTAAAATGTATATTATCCACATAATATCAAGTAGTATTGGGTAACTGCCCTTTGAGTTTAGTTAAACATTCATAGAAAGCAAAAGAATTTACAAAATGAGAATGCTTAAAAAGTAATTCAAACACAGCTACAAACATTCAATAAAAAAATAAACCAAAGGAGGTAGATACAGTAAAATGAAATCTCTAAGAGAGAGAGAGACAGAGGAGAGAGAAAAAAGAAAGAATAAAAAGAAAAGAATAAACGAACTAAAGTAAACTACCACAAAAAAATCAAAGGATATTAAGAAGTTCTATTAAATATTAAATGCAATCATGTGCATTCTTACTGCTTAATCAGTTATTGGTGAATTGTTACAATCTTACATTAGTAAATTATTATGTTAATAATTTATAAAACTAAGTTATGTAAGGTACAAAATTCAGAAAGTGCAGTAAACAAATAAAAAAAAAGTTTAACATTATCTTGTCTCAATTCTCTAATAGAGAAATAACACCAAAACACAACAAAATATTTTGTTTCCAACAGTTACACAGTTGCTGAACAATCCAAGATTCATTTCAACAACTTTTTGTGTTTTTGCTGTTGTTGTGTGTTTTTTGTTGTTTTTTCATGAATATCCTTTAATATTTTCTCAAGTAGTTTATTTTAATCACAATTGGAAGTTTATATAAACTTTGGTGAAACAATTGACAACTATTGAATATTTTCCTAATTTTCTAGGAAAGTATAATATTTTACCTTTAGGACCATGAAATTCATATATAAATCAAAATAAAATAATTCATTCTTCACTAGCAGATATGATATCATTTTCCTAAGATTTCACACACACAAAACTACAATCCACACATGATGACATTACTTAATATCAGCAAAATGTGGCAATGTGTGTCAGTGTCCTTTACAGAAGAAATACTTCAAATTTTGTAGTGTAAAAATATTTATTGTAGACAAAATACTCATTGGGAATCCAAGCTAAGAGTCCGATGGCGGCACAGCTGTTTCTGACCAACCAGGAGGTTTGTCGTAGCACTTGGAAAGTTTAGCTCGGCTGAAGTCAAAACCAGGATTCTATTAAAAAAAAAGAAAGGTACATACTGATTATAAAGAATATCTCAACACATCACGTTTTCTTTAGTTGTAAGGATACCAGTGTGTAATAATTGTATTAACATGTGTAAATTACTTTCATTTTGGGAACCCATTATTCCTAGAAATACAAAGGGGTTGGGGACTCAACCACCTTAATATTACTTTCAGTTCACTTGATTCATGTACTCTACATTATTGAGAATTAGTGTAATTATTGAGGCAATTTTCGTATCTGTTTTTCACAACAACAGCAGATAATTTGTGAATCTCCTTTTTTCCCCTGATTTTTCTAGCGCATGTTTGACACAACCCTCCCTTTATAGAAGACATAATTTTTCCATTGCGCTTTCAGTGGTTACATCATTTTCCCCTTTCATCTACTTAGGAAAACGAAAGAAAAGAAATTGGAACCGTATTTCACATAATAATTATTTAAAAATTGCATTATTTCACGGAAATTTACGCGAAAACTAATCATGTTTTCGAAACATTGTACTTGACCTTATTTCAAGATCTGTTCTTAAGGAACAGATTTTATTATGAAAAACATTTTTATTAAACTTGTGCTCGAATAACGTAAAGGCCATTATAACCAATTCTTGATTTCATCAACAACGTTTCAAGATTAAAGTGTAACTCATTATCCAGTTTCTTTCATTGAAATTTAATTTTTTACAATAAATTTTACTTTCTCGCACTTGCGAAGGAACTTCTTAAGAAGAGAAAGTTGTGTGATGTTATGCCCAAAAGCAGCGAATCTTCAGCAGAAAAATATTTACAGGGCTATGGTAACAAAAAAGTGGACAAATCTAAATTGCTAAATTTAGAAGAAAAAAATATCATCTAACACGTAGAGTCACCAGAATCTATGTTTTGTGGGTCCTTGACACCAAAAAATCGATTGACAGCAAAACGTATGTCTGTCTGTCTCAGTCCATACACCTGTGAACAATGCTAGCAGTTATTTTCTCCGGATCAGCTGATTTTCTCCAAATTGATATTCCCACATTGATCTGGTTGATGTCTCTGCCCCTTGAATTTGAAACCGATATTTTAATTTTCAGGGGTACTTTACACGAGGCTCCTAAGACATTAAAAAATGACCCCCATCGATTTTCATTAAATTTTGTTGTTGGATTGACTGAAGGACATTTAAGAGAATGGTGCAGGTCTCATGTTCGCAAAAGAACTCTGATTTTTCGAAACTTGAAAAGATTCAAAATTTGTTCCGGTCTCTTCCTACAATTAAAATATTAAAGATAGAGATTTTTTTCTCTTAAGATCTGTTCCTTCAAGTTAGATTTTGAAATAATGTCATGTACATTTTTCGAAATTTTGAGTATTTTTCGCTTAATTTTGCATGAAATACAGGCAATTTTTAATTTTGTTTAATTTCTTCTGAAAAATGGCACCTTTTTTTAAAAAAGAAAATCAATCTCTGATAATGTATAAAGGAAGCTTAAAAGGATGATGCATGTTCTGATTTTTCAAAATTGCAAAAATTCAAAACTTTTTGGTGTCATCCTACAACAATTGTGATATTCTTTTACTTAATGAAATATGATAATCAAAAGCAGATCTTTAAATACAGTCATAATCAATTTTTCGAAAATATAGGTCCTTTTTGTGTAATTTTGCATCAAACTGAGTCACCCGCTTCGAATATCCACCGCCTCATGAGCGTAATTTGAGAGGTAATTGGAGGTAGGAATGCTACAGAAGTTAGAAATTGTATATTATTTCATATTTTCATTGTACGTTTCTTACAATCAAACTTTTGTTGTACGCTTATAAATTAAACTTTTAGAAATTATTTACTTCATCAAAAAGATTTTTCTATTGTTTGGATGTAACAGATTGAAAATAAAAACATATAAAAGAAAAAATATGAAATAGTTTAAAACCCATATGATAATCCATGTTTTGTTCGTGTTGCAAGGAATATATTTGTGTTCTCTATGTTACAAATACATATGTATTTCGTTTAAAAAAATATTTAAAAATACATCGTTGATGTATTTTCTTTCAAGCAATTCGCAAAAATTGGACAATGGATGCCTAATTAGGTTTTCTCTTTAAAAAACGATTTAAATGTAATAAAGAAAAATTGAAAAAATTGGGTACTATAATTTTGTCAGACTGTATTTGGTCTTTATTTTATAGACAGAAAATTCAGTATTTTGGATTCTGTCTACAAAATAAAGACTAAATAGTCTGACAAAGTTTTGTGTGTGTGTGTGTGTGTTAAATGAAATCTGTTTTATCAAAATCATTTCTTTACAAAAGGTCATGATTTGTTTGTAAAAATATGACTAGTTTAGTGAAATTTTTCAAATTTTAATTTCCCATGCCCCAGTTGCTAGCCTTCAGAAATATCAGACTGGAACACAACAATGGCATTCACTACAGTGAGTCTGCAGTTGGATTTTCTAAGAAGTCAGTCTTATTGTCGACAAGATATACCTGTAAAATGCATTTTTAGCTGTAGAATATATGTTGATATTTGCTTCAAAATAATTACTTTTCGCATCTAATGTTCTACGTTTTGTGATGAGCTTTGTTTTATAAACTAAAATTCTACGTTTTGTAATGAGTTTTGTTTTACAAATTAGTGGTACTACAGAATGGCACAGACTTTCTCATATTAGTTTTCTATTTTCTTTGATCTCAGCTAGCTATTCGAGGTTGCCACATTCTCTTCGCAGCTGCTATCTACTGCTGCCCAAAGTATGTTTTTTTTTTTTAATTTATTTATTTTCATTTTTTTACATTCTCTTAATTTTTCGGTTTCCTAATTGAATCTATTTCACAAAAACATCAAACGCCAAAAATTTTGGAAGTGGTTTAGCAATAGGATATTGTTCTATGAGAATAAACACATTGTCTAGTGCAGAAATCATTTATTTGCAGCTCTTGCAATGTTAGTCTAAAAAAAAAAAAAAAAAAAAAAAACAACAACAACAACTTAAAAATCGGGTTTAGAACAGAAACGCGAGTGATGTCATTTTACGAGTTTCTACTCTTAACCAAAAGGAAATTTCCTTTTAACCCTACAGTGGTCACATGCGGACAATCACAAAAATCAGGATGTCACATGTAATCCATGCTACTTTGAAGGGTTATCAGCACCACCTCAGGGGTCGGTTTGGTTACACGTTCAGAAGGGGAGATTTTCTAAGAAAGGTACAGGAAGTCTCGTACGTGATCTCTATCTGCTCTTCTAAAAGTAGTGAGATAGCTTTTTTCAGTTTGTAAGTAGCATCTGTGCATAGTGGCATTTTGATACTTATTTTGCAAAGTGATTTGATTTTGCTGTGCTTAGTCAGTAAGACAAAGTGATTTTTTTTGTGAGAAAATGTCTAGTTCTGAAGATGAACCTGTACATAAAAGGAGACACGGAGTTCGTCGTGAAGAAACATATCAGCAAAATATCATACGCAATACCAGGGTAAAAGGCGAGGCATATGTTTCATACACTGGTAAGAAAGTAGGTCTAAAATCGAAGCCAGAGAGCATTTCATGCAACTAAAATAGGATGTACATATAAAACATGAATTTGTTTTACTTAATTAGGAAAGCTTTTCCATAATATTTTGGTTACATTCAAATTTTGCATTTGTTGTTCTCGAGAAACTTAAACGGATATTATTTAAAGCACATGTACTCATAAATACAATAATGTTAATAAATCGATCATGTAAATACTAATGATGTAGAGAGACAAGTCAAAAACAAAATTAATTTATGTAATTTTTTAAAAACAATAGAGCAATATGGTGTTTATGTCATTTTATAGAGTACATTTAGTACTATCCCTATTAGATGTTTAAAGAAAAAAATTGGAGCCGTTTTCAAGAAAATCATGTTTTGGATTTTTATTGCACACTTACAAGCAATATTACTACTAACAAAAACTACTAACATTTTCAATTTTCATAAGAAATTTCATTTGAAGTAAAAATCTCTATCTTTAAATTTGTAGTTGAAGGAAGACGATGAAAAAAATTCAAACTTTTCCCATTTCAAAAATTCAGTCAAACGTGAAAATGGTACCTACACCATATTTATAAGTGTATTTTACTCTATTATTACAATAAATTTGAAAAAAAATTTGGAGCATTTTTGAAAACAAAATTGAAAATGTCCCAAGGGCTTCATGTAAAGTACCCCCAAATTTTCAAGAATATTTCTCAAATAGGTTTGATTCGAGTCAGATGGACACAGGGTTTTTCAACTTAGAAAAAATCCTATACTTGGTTTAGTAGTAGTGATCACAGACGTATGTATGGACGGTTAAAAAAAAACCTTTTTCAATATCAAGGGACCCGAAAACGTGTATTTTCGTTGAAATCTCAAAACCTATTTTTTTCCAGCATTACATAACTGTCTTGATACAGTGTATATTACTCTGTACATACATATGTACACGGCAAAGTAAAAAGCATCAACTTTTTATATATTTAAATGTATTAATGAACGTCCTATAATGTACCTTTAATAGCAAGTGCATCCAAACAATTCACAGAACTTTTGAACCCAAGATGTAGAACATAAATTTTAAGAACTGACCGTTTGTTTTCATATTTAGAAATTTACTTGGAAATTCTATTTTGTATTTTTATATCCGGAGAATGTTTGGCCCACGAACTTAAATCTTTTTCCCATGGAATTCCCATTTGAACAGACATGTGAACATTTTCCAAGGATGTGTAATCATAAAAACTAAAATTATGAAAATAAAATATTAAATACAAATTAATGGTGGTTTCATGTTAACATTTCAATTACGCATTGTTTTACCTGTCATGAATCACTGAACAAAAAGACTGCAGAATTTAAGTATTAATACTATAATTTTACTAATAAGTAACCAAATCTGTGTCAGTGATCAATAATTGATAATAATGATCAATCAGTAGAAATTATAAACACCAATTATCACAATTACATCACATTATAAAACACACAAATTAATTTGAAAGTTCCCAACATGTAAGACCAAAAAGTAACTTCAGAATTCTGAATGTTTCCACAAAGCCTAAGAGGCGAGGTTTGCAGAATACTATTCAATATCCTTCTGTCTGATGGCTTCATTCACTCAAACATGTTCAACATTTTGAAATTATTTGTATCAATTTGTACAATTTTTCATCATTAAAGATAGCGGAATAAACAATCTCTGGTGAAAAGTATTTCTAACCTTCTCACGATTAAATTAAATTGAACTTCAAAAAGGCGGCCAGCTATGATTGCTTCTCAGCTGACCACCGGAAGAATATATTTCACGGTGTGATGTGGCCTTTGGCATTTACAGCCATGAATTCTTTGAACTGTTTCATCTATACATCGAAAGCTGTAGAAAACTTTCAAGCAAAAGGACTGCAAGATGGATAAATTTCAGCAATTATCTCTGTCACATCTTTTTAAGGTCTTATATTATGAGTATGTTTCTTTTTTACATGCCTAAATTATTGCTTTTACTCTTAATCTGTAATTTTAAGTTATTTTTTCATTTTATTTTGTATTTAAGATAAGGGATTATCCACACTTGAAAATACATCAATAACAAAATCAAAATTAGAAAGAAACATTTGATTACATCATACACAGCCTTTAAACAGTTTTCTGAATTTAATTAAATGAAATATCTTCTCATTTAGTACATTACACAATTCAGTTCTTAACATAATACCTAGAAATAACATTTGAAATTAAGTGTAAATGATTTATCTTTTCTTCTCTTCCCTGTCCATATAAATACGAAATGCCCAACAACAAAATATTCTCACCTCTATCTGAAATTTTTCAAGGTCCATTTTTTTACGCATATTGTGTACTGTCAAAGGATCTGGTGCAAACTGACCATCAGCAAGCAATGCTTCCCAGATTTCTTCACTATGAGCAGGTGTGGCTTTCCCTAAAACTATCGACAGTACACGTCCATCTTCAATAGTCCATACTGTTTCATCTGCATGTACAACGTTGAAGAGCTTTCCCTACAAAATAAATACCAGACATATCTACTAATCATTATGGATATAAAACGAAAATATTGAAGCCTAAATAAACTGTTAAACACCAGCAATGAAGTCAAGAGATCGTTTTACAATGCAATAATGTACTTACACTAATCACATCTTTTCCAACGACACGAATAATTAAATGTGCCGGTTTAACTTCAACATGTACTTGCTTCGCCTTAGTACCTTCCGGCAGATTTACTTCTAAATGCACTTCGTGAACAGTTTGCCACCACCGACCCCAGGGGGTTGGGCAAGCAACAATACCACTTTTTTCTACAAAATGACTGAGTCCTTCTGTTGACATGGTAAAATTTACTAATTCGGTGTTTTAAGGTTAATTTACAAAAGATATTTAAATTACAATATTACAAAATAAGCAAGTCTCCACACTAATCACAAACAGTATGGCGGTAAATACTTATATTCACGTTAGAATGAAGTAAAGGGGGGGGTTATAATCACATTACATTTGATCTAATTTGCCCTCTCCTAACCAAAAGGCACACGCACCACACGCAGCTAATAACACAAGCGCCAATACCGCCAATAGGCGCTTTTGAGCGTTTTTCATCAATCGCAGTGTTGCCAATCCATTGTTAAAAATCTTTGGAGGTTGCATAGCCTGAAACACTTCAACGATATTTTTTCAAGCAGATATTTATTTACTTGTTTATTAGAAAATATTGTTAGTATTTAAAAAGAAAATCAAAATTGAATCATTGTGAAATATATTGGGATAAGTGAGCTTATGTAGTTGAGATTACTGACTGGAATCGAGAAAAACTAAAATTCTCTCCCCATATTTTATAAAAAAACATGTATTATTTGTTTTCTATATTTCATAGTTTTCATGATAATCTACGCACCTAACAGTGATGTGGGATCGGCACGTGACATGCATTCTGTGACTCGCAAAAATATTCGGAAATTGTGAATTTAGTATAATAATCATTTTCGGTATCGGTATATTAAAAGTAGAAAATAAATGAAATAAAGAATATTATACGGTCACTTTCATAAGCACTTATAACATATTTACAAAGGTTTCTTTAAAATCACAAAAATCAACCGATTTTTGTAATCTTAAATTTCTTATGCTGAAAAGTTACCTTATAAAACTATTCGGACACTTGAATGGAAACAAATATGCACAGTAAATAATGTTCAAAGAGAAAAACTCGTAAAAATAACAGAGTTCAATAACTTGTATAGCCATCCCCTATCGCTGCAGCACTTCATTGAGTTAATTTGATATACTTTGTACAAGTTTTAGAGTACAAGAAGAACAATTTTTTTCTTCATTTTTGTTGCTTTATTTGCTCTATTATTTGTCTGGATATTTTCTTATCTCTTTTTACAAATTTTCCCTACGATGTTTTAATGCTGCAAAATGAAATGTCGGAAGAAATTTTTTCGAATTCTTCTCACTACTCCAACGACTTCTTCAGAAGCTGAAAAATCATTTTTAACAACGAAGTGGATAAAAAACATTTCGTAGAAATGCAATGGCACCCGAGCGATCGCGATTGTGCGCCCTTGCAATGAGTTTAAATTAGATTTAATTAGAAAAAATAAAAATAAAATGAAATATCTCTAACTCGTTGATGTGACGTATGGCGGAGAAGATAATCTGAACCAAAGAGTATATATTGCACCTACCTGCTTGCAGCCTGCACGTAACGAAAAACAAACACCGCCTACATTGCCAGCTTTTTGAA